CTCTCGCTGTGTCTCTCTCTGTCAAATAAATAAATAAAATCTTTAAAAAAAAAAAAAAATTATTCCTGCTTTATTTCTCAGTTCAGACTCAGGTTGGGGTCCCAAGAGCAATGAGATACAGAGTTGAGCTTGTGTTGTCTACCTTGTTCATGCCAACAAAAATAAGAGCCAAAATGTTAACAAATATAACTTGGAAGTAGCTAGCTATGTGCTTTTGAGTGGGCTTACAGGTAATTGCCATTGTCAGCTTTGTGGTGAATGGAAAGTAGGCAGGAAAAATCATTGAAACGCTCATCAAAGAAATCTGTCTGAAAGTATAGCCTTGGCACCATGGAAAGTCACTCGCAGACTTAAGGTATGAGGATATGGACCATATGGCAACCCTTCTCAGATTACTAAATCGTGGTCTCTAAAACCATCTTGATGTACTTGGGAAGGTTTGCTACCATCATAATAAGATGGTTTTGAGGTAACCTAGGAATTGACTACTCTCTGGCATGTCAGCACCTCAGTGCCTCAGGAAGCAATTACCTAGTTTGTGGGTCTCCTGGCCCCTTCCTTCTCTGCTAGCTAATGCCTCAAACAGTAGGAAAAAGATGGAAAAGAAGGTAAAATGCAGCTTTGTCTGCTCATTGCTAGCTCTGATTTGCTGGGGTTGGGGGTTGAAATAATGTCTAGAGATTCACTCTGGGTTTTATAAAGTCATGACTTGGTGTCCTTCCTTGGCAAAGTCAGTATTGTAAGGATGTGACGTATGTCAACAAATAGTCTTTCTCCCCATGAGATCTTTTTTTTTAAAACCGTTGAGAACTACTGTTAATATTCTTCAGTCGCAATCAGTGTCCAAGTGAATTTGGGGGATGGAGAAGAGGAGAACCGGTGTGTTCACACATCTTAGTATCTAGTCCCCCCTCCTGACTATGAGGGAAGCACAGCTAGAAGATACTAGATACTAAGACACATCTTAGTATCTAGTCCCCCCTTCCACTATGAGGGAAGCACAGCTAGAAGACTCACTATGGAAAAGTGCATGGCCCTGAGTATGTGCAGACCAATATGGTCTTTCGTAGGGGAGAATAAGTACAGCACTGATCTAGAGTGTTCGTGGTATGAATGGTTTGTGTTGTAAGAATGCCAGGACACTGCGCTTGTGAAATAAAACGGAATTATTGTCTGTTTCAGGTTATATGCGCCATGGCTATGACTGGTGTCAGATTGCCTGCCAGTGTTCTGAGAAAGCCAGATGTCTGGATTGGACTCTGGGGAGCGCTACAAGGGACACCATCGTATAAACTCTGTGCTTCCTGGAATCGATACTCACATTTTTCTAGTACCCAGTTAAACACATCAAATTGTAAAACATTTTTCCATAACATTTTCTCACTGAGACTCCCAGGGCTTTTAATATCTCCAGAATATATTTTCCCACTCTCCATAAGACTTAAAAGTAATATAAGCTCTAAAAAATCCACTAAGAAGACTCTGCAAAAAGCCGAGGATGAAGAGGACTCTGATGATGAGAGTGATCGTGAGATGAGTGAGCAGGAAGAGGAGCTCGAGGGTGACCCCAGTGTGGTCAAAGACTATAAAGACCTGGAGAAAGTAGTGCAGTCTTTTCGGTATGATGTTGTCCTAAAGACGGGCCTAGATGTCGGGAGAAAGTAAGTACGATGTGCATTTTATTACAAGATCCTTTGTCTTTGTGTCATTTTAATGTAGTAGTTCCCATCACTCAGCCCATCTTGTGGTGAGGGGCAAGCCCAGATAGGAGAGGACCTGCCTGGTCACCCGTTTCAGGTATTTCCTTCTGCAGATGAGAACACTGACTCCCCAGCAAGTCAGGTGACTGCCTGCACATCCCATGTGCCAGATTTCCCTGGTTCTGAGACACAGTCGACTCTAAGATGAGCCACCGATTTAATACCAGCTTTTTTTTTTAATTTTTTTTTTTTTAAAGATTTAATTTATTTATTTGAGACAGAGAGAATGAGATACAGAGAGCATGAGAGGGAGGAGGGTCAGAGGGAGAAGCAGACTCCCTGCCGAGCAGGGAGCC